TTCTCCAAAAGAGCAGTACACACTCTTAGCCAGAGCCATCTTTTTGGCCTCCAAAGGTGCAACTTTTAGCTTCTTTATTCTCTCTTAATATGTTTATTAGTCTTTACCCAAATACAATGCTCCTTGCCCCCCACTAAGACAAACACTAGAAATTATAATACTAAGAACATACAGACAAAAGATCTGAGTCACTAGGAATAGTGACTCAGACTTGATAAGATTTAATGTATATATTTTTAATGGGTGATCATGCCCTTAAATTCCAGCATTCAGGAGTCAAAGGTAAGCAGATCTCCAAGTTCAAGGTCAGCCTGGGTGAGTTACAGGACCGTCAAGGCTACAGAGAAACTCTGTCTCAAAATATTTAAAAAATTATATATCTGAAGCTTCAGTTACAGGAAGCTGTGATGGATATGTGTGCACAGAATGGAACTGAGCAAGCACAATGCACATTCTTAGTTGCTGAGCTGTCTCCTCAGTCACCTGTAGCTGCTTGTTAAAAAGTCCATCTTGAAATGGTATCTTTGTGGTTTGGCACATTTAATCCAAGATGGGTTGGAGAAGCAGCACAGCCTTATCCCCAGGAAGGAGAGAACATGGGTTTATCAGGTTTATCAGGATATCTTGAGAAGAAAAATGGAAAAGTAGGAAGGTATTGTCAGAAGGAGAGATGTCTGGATTACGGACTTCAGAGTCATTTGTGTTATGATCTGTCAGTTTCTGAACTGGAGCAGCTTAGGTTCCTGGGATGATAGATGACTTGAACTGGTAAGGAACTCCTATGATAGAGAAAGCAAATGAAATAATCTCCTCTTCCTTAGCACCTTCTACATTACCCTAACATCTCATTGATATCTCCCTCAGGATTCTGGGATAATCACGTGATCTGGGCCTACCCCTGAGGACTCCCTCCTCAGACCCAGACCCCAGACTTTTCTTCCATCTTCTTCCTGAGTCAAAGTTGTTACCTACAAGGTTTATGCTTGAGAATCACATAATCAAATTAACATGAAGACAATAAAAAATAGAATTTACAGAAATATCTCACAATGTTTTAAGCAAGTTTACAGTTTCCTGTTGAGCCATATTCATAGTTATCCTCAAATGCACATGACATGGGCCCCAGGTTCATATCTAATACAGAATATCTCTATCAAGCTATAGTAACTTGTTAAAAATGGCCTCCAGTGAATGGATCCCATCACCTTGAGCACATGCTGCTCAGCAATGTATCTTTACTTCTTTCTCCAACAAGAGATGGAATCTATTGCTCATGTGACTTGTTTGGTCCAGTAGAGTATGATAGAAGTTCCATCCATGGCTGAGCTCCAAGAGGAGTTGCAGCCTTTTGATAAGAATGAATTCCAGCTTCCATGGAGAAGAGTCCAGGTTATCCTACTAGAGAGACTATGTGGAGAGAAAGGTCCCAAAGAGATGGGACTTCTTGCTTCCACTGTTTTCTCAACTATCATGGTACCACATTTAGGGGTAGCAAGTACCAGATGCCAATAAAGTTTACACTTCTTCAGTTTTCTGTCACTGTACATGACAATGAAGAACAGCAATCTCTTGTGCTCACTGTTCATCAATGACTCTATCATGTTCAACTCAAGTCTGGAAATTAATTAGGATGCACTATCTCTTCACCTTGGTGTTAAAACCAGTTTCCTGGCCCCTAAAACAGACAAAATAATGTGTTCACTAGGCTGTGATCTATTTAATTCCTCTAGACACATTGATCAATCAGCTATCAAAACAATAAGCAATCTTGTTTCTTATACTTAGTCATTGTCAAATGACCTCTGTCTCTGTGGGATCCTATTTTTTTCTTTTCTTTTCTTTCTTTCTTTCTTTTTTTTTTTTTTTTTTTTTTTTTTTTTTGAGGCAGGATTTTTCTGTGTTGCTTTGGAGCCTGTCCTAGAACTGACCGTAGACAAGGGTGGCCTTGAACTGAGAGATCTGCCCTAGTCTGCCTCCTGAGTGCTGGGATTAAAGGTGTGTGCCACCACTACCCAGCCTTCTGTGAGATCCTGTTATTCTCACTGAAACATGGGCTCTCAGTTCAGTGACAGTGTCCCTTACTATCAGTTGACCTACAGAAGACAACCCTCACAGAAGACACTGTGAGCCTCTCATTAACTCATTACTCAGTACCTCAGCATGGGGAGTTGTGTCTGAACTCTCTTAGAGGCTACATTATAGAGGTTGAAGTGGGTACAGACCACACAAATTATATATCCACTCCAACATTGCAATTTCTCTAAGCCTTTGGATCTTACCCTTTGCATTATCTCAAGACAATTCTGGCAGTTAGCATGACTGAATATTGGTTCCAGCTGGTTCACGTCAATCATCGAAGAAAACAGACAACTCTAGCTTCAAGATTCTACCATATCAGTACATTTTGTTGAGCTTACCATTTTATATCTATCGCCTCTGGTCTAATGACCTTAAATCTCAATGTTACTTGAGTTCCTGTCACTAAAAATTAGCAAGATTTTTTTTACTTACTTTGGAGTATAAACTTTTTTCCTTCTGTACCGGACTTTGTACTTGGTCCCTCAGACTAATAAACCAAAACCTGCATCTATATATAGTCCTAGGGGTGATGAGCAGAGGTGGGTCTTCACATCAGTTGCTTCATACACAGGCAGATGGGCATTCCCAAGATCTCAGCTTTTCCTGAGTCTGAGTAGAAGTTCCCCACACCAAGGCTCAAAGTCGTTCTGTAACTGATCACATTTACATGTGGCTCGTTAGCATACAATCTATTTAAGCTGTAATTCTAACAAACTGGTGAAGCATTTGCAGTCATCATAGCTGGTACCACTGTGGGTGCTTCTGGGATCTGTTAAAAGAGTCAGGGACCAACTGCCACAACTTGGGTTGAAGAGCAACACTGTTAGTTAAGAAGTCATCCTCCCTCTAGTGGTCCACAGTGGTATAATAACGACCTCACAGAAGTATGAATCACAAAGTATGGGGATTACAGTTGAAAGGTTTTAATGAATGAGTCATAAAGTATGTGCCTCTGAATAGACTTGCTCATGTGAACATTCTTTCCTTTCTTTTGTCTGTCTGTCTGTCTGTCTCTCTTTCAGACACACTATTTTTGGTGTATTTTAGCATGAAAACAGTTTTCTCAACATAACAATTTCTATGTTTTTAAGTAGGAAATAGTCAGAGGAAAAAGATCTGACTTACTGATGAAATACCTTTTTAGAATTTTCCAAAGCATCCCATCATGTACAAATGTACAATTTCAGAAGATCACAATTTTCTAAACTGCTTTTAAAAATACCTTGGGAGACTGTAGATTTAGGAGACTCAATGGTTGGGAATACTTGCTCCTCTTGCAAAGGATCCAGGTTCAGTTCCCAGCACTCACATGATGGCTCATAACCGTCTGCAATTCTAGTTCCAGAGAATCTGACCCCCTCTTCTGACTCCACAGGCACCAGGCAGCATGGAGTGCATATATACACAACCAGGCAAAGCATTCATACACAATGGATAGAATAAAGAAAATCTTAAAACAAATTAAACCTTCCACATTAACGTAGCATCAAAAACTGCTCACACCAGCATATATTTATTTACACCAGAGGATTCCAAACCATTCCTAAGTATGGGCTTGTGAACCACCCACGGGTGCTAGAGCAGGCCTTAATTAAAGGGCCCACCATCACCCTTAGGCACAACATTCTGTTTTAAATATTCGCTTCAGACATTTGATACCAATGTAAGATTATTTTAGGGGGAGAAAAATTGTACTGCTAAACTATTCGAAAGCATCAGATTTCTTGTGAGGATAGTGTTATCACTATATCTCCTATTTTCTGTTTTAAATTCGGGACAGGGTCTTGCTATATTGCCCAGATTGTAACTTGAGGAGACCCTCTTGCCCCAATCTCTGAGTGCTAGGATTATATGGTGCAGGAAGCCTAGCTTATTTGCTACTTTCAGGACTATAAAGATATCTTTGAGTATGTGTGAGTAAAGCCCGAGTATCACAGGTCATTCACTTTTTTCTATTTAACATGTAACATATGTGCTTTTATACATTTGATGGTCACCTGTGTCTGACAGTCTTTCTCTGGAGTCTAAAACTTTCGCAAGAGTGACTTGAAAACCTTCGCTGTGCTTCTTCCAGTGCTCCAGTTCCTGGGAGCTCTGCTTTCAATATGCTTGCTCATAGAACGCCATCTCCTTGTCTCCACTCTTCATTCTGACCTCAGATCTTCCTTCCTGAGAACACAGACCTCTCCTTTTTGGGTTCCTATCTCCTTCGATCACTGCATCACAGACATATCCCTATCAATAGTTAGCTTCATTTTCTTTCTGGCTCAGATAAGAAGGCTTTGTAATCTTCAAGGGGACTCTTTCACTTAAGAACCTGATTCTATCTCTCCTTGTCTCCCCTGAACAGGGGAAGAGATTGCACGATGCTCTGGTACTGACTTTGAACATGGAAGATGTGGACATGAGCCAAAGAATGAGGCAACCACTGCAAGTTGGAAAAAGCAAGGAAATGAATTCTTTAGAGCCTTCAGAAGGAAATGGCCCTTTAAACAGCCAATCCTACTTCAGTAGATTGAACAGAGGCTGGGGCCATATTTCAGTGGGTAAAGTGCTTGCTGTGCAAATATATTAAACTTTGTTCAGGTCTTCATCACCCTCATTGAAGCTCTTGGCATGAGAGTTCATACCTAACTAGCAGTGGGGATGGAGAGGATGCTTCTGGGGACTGAGGGCCAAACACTGAACCTGACTCAAAAACAAAGGTGGGCAGCTATAGAGGAAGATGCCAACCCAGTTCTTCTCAACCTTCCTAATGCTGCAATCCTTTAATACAGTGCTTCATGTTGTGGTGACCCCAACCTTAAAATTACTTTTATTGCTACTCCATAACTGTAATTTTGCTACTGTTAGCCTCCACACAGGCATGTGCACACAGGCATGCTCAGTACATCCCAAAATAAAGAATATTTCCTATCTTCCACAAATCCAGTAGCTTTATGTTGGTTCAATCTGTTAAATTTGTGGTAATTTGTTACAGCCAAAATAAGCCACGAAAAGGCAAGGTGATAGGGCACTAAAGGAGCATCTAAATTATAGAGTGAGGGTAGTTGTTTACAAAGAATTATCAAAGATTATGGTCCCAGAGCTGATGAGGAAGTGAGGTTATTTCAGGGAGATAATGGTTCAGATGGAAGAGTAATTACCTGCAAGGTGCACAGAGTACAGAAATGTTTCAGTAGGACAGGGTTACATGCATTAAATACAAGCCTAGTAAGTATTTGTATATAGGTACAGGTCTAACATATCTCATAACCTATGAAGGTCTTTATTTTGTTCATAAGCATAATGAAATCTGGACAAGTAGCTTTTTGGGATCACAGGGCTAGCACATAGCAACCCGTAAAGACAGAATGAAGTAACCTAACAGTCTCTAATGCCCACCAACTGCTCCTCTCCACTTTGCCGCAGGAACCTTAAACACATAACAATACTGTATCAAGATAAGAATAAACCACCATCAGGAATATTTTGTCCGAGACAATGACGGTGGTAATCCGGAAAACCTCTGGGTCTCTTTCTTATTATCAAAGTTGGCTGTTAGCCAAGATGTGTAGTCTTCCTTGACTACTCAAGTCGTTACGAACTACGTAACGAACTCCACACTTAATATAATCCAAGTTCTTTTCAAAATGTCTGAGGCGGACACTCCTCGGTCGGACTCATCTGTAAAACTCCTAGCTTCGATGTTGTCCCAAACATCTGGAAGGAACTTAAAAACACCTAGGTCTCTTTCCCCCGAGGTAACTCCGCCCCCCGGACCCTGACCACACACCTCGGGCCCGCCCCCCCACTTCCTCCCTCCCTCCCTCTACCGCCTAGGCCGCTCGAGCCGGCCTCTCCCGGCTCGGTCTTCCCAGGCCCGATCGCGCCGCGGAAGATGGCCGCTGCAGTGCGGCGGGGTGCGGAGCCGTGGAACCGCGTGAGGATCCCCCAGGCGGGGAGCAGCAGCACACTGACGGTGCGGGACCCCAGTCCCACCCTAGGTGAGTGCGGCGCCGGAGCGGGTCCACGCTTTCCGGGAGCCAGCGGGCCAGCCCACGTGCGACGGGGTGGGACTTCCTGAGCGCGGGGCACGCCGGGAAGGGGCGCGCTGGGCGGAAGGTCCGGGCTGCTGCTATGACGGCCGGGTTGTCTGGGCCCGCGGCTCCGGGACTGTGATGCTCCTGGGCTTCTGCCGGCCTTTGCTGCAACACGAGAGCAAGGGTAGCCCCGGGCTGGTGCGTGCAGCTCCTAATCCTTCAACGCTGCCTGGAGGCTGTGCTGTCCCCAAGGATCGGGGCTGCCCCCCAAGCATCCTGCATCGCGGCTTCGGAGCTCCGTCCTGTCTCTAAAGTGGAGCTCGTTTTCTCCCTACGGGGCCAGGGAGTTAATTCGCGCCCCTCGGGTTTTCTCGAGGAAAACAGTTTCCGTTCCGAGACAGTTTAAGCAATGTGTTTTCTAAACAAGAACTCTCAGAGATGTGGGGTGGCAGCTCAGTGGGATCTGTGTTGGGAGTTTTCATTAAGTTTGCACTAATACCTATGCTGTGGAAGGGATTCATGGAATTAGGTGATTTTATTTACCCTGTCCCAAATCGTGGGCGGGATCTCTTTTAGGACTTTCTTGATCTTTTAGAAAAGTCTATTGGGTCGGCGGGGAAAAAGATGGTTCCCAGCTTATTGATCCCCGGGATTCACGTGGTAGAAGGCGAGTCCCCTGGCCTCCCACTGGACTCAAAGCTGTGTGTGGTACTCCCACCCAATAAAGAAAAATAAAAAAAGTATTAAACATAATGCAAATATTATAATGAGGTGGGGGCATCTTTTGAAGTGTGAGGTAATACCTGAGTTTGAGAACTGCCTAGCTACAGCCTAAAGGATGTTTAACCACAAAAGGACGTTCAGAGCAGGAGGTATAGCTACTAAGACACGCTGTAGTTTTCTTGCTTACCTCGTATCTTTTTTTTTTTTTTTTTTTTTTTTTTGTTCAAGCTGCTAACGGTCCTATAACTGTCAGCTAAGAAAATTTGTTACTTCTAAAACTGAGGTTTTAGCCCACTCTAAAATGGGGATAAAAAATAGTACCAGTTTCTTGGGGCTGTTTTGGGAGAGTCAAAGAGTTGGTAACAATAAAGCATTTGTAACATTGCCTGGTATGACAGTCAAATGATAGTAGTTGTCATAATATTAATTTGGCAACCTATCGAGTCATTTCACCTCTTCCCATCTATATTTCCTAAACTCTTTAAATTTCATTCTGATTCCCTCTCTAGTCACATTTAAAAACTCAAAAACAAAACGTGAGTTTGAGGTCAGCCTGGTCTACAGAACTAGTCCCAGGACAGGTTCCAAAGCAATATTGAGAAACCCTGCCTCAAAAAACAAAACAGAACAACAACAAAAGACCCCAAACAAACAACAACAAAATACTATTGGAAATTCACCAAGCTGTCATCACCCAGGGAGCGAATTTAAATTCTCCATGTAGTCAGGGGTTGGGGAAGTTGGGCAGAGAACATTATTCCTTTAAAGAATATTTGTGTTTCTCTTTTGAGCCACCAGGTGGCACATTACACCTGCTTCACAGCTGCTCATGTTAAGATTAGAAAAATCGGTACACCCCTACACTAACATAATACAACTTCCAGTGGCCCTGGTGGTTTCTCTTTTCTGAATGTAAAAGAGGCCAAACCCCATTGATATCCATGAGGGATTTTCGTCTCAAAAATCCTATTAAAAAAGAATGTGCATGTACTTAAGCCTTTTATTACTAGTGAGATAGATAGTATTTATAGTGTGATCTACACTCCTCTTTCTGTATACATTAACTCTATTTCTAGGTTGCTTATGATATTGTATACAATGTGACGGCTATTGAAATACATTAGAGATGGAATTTGTGGGGACTGTGTTCAGTGTGAGGTTGGTTGAATGCAAAGAGGGCACTTATCATGGATAGAGGACTGGGTATTATATATTATCAAAAAGTGGTATCCAAATATAGTTGCTTTGGCTTTGCAGCCTGTGACTTTATCTACTCTGTCTTGCTTACCTGCAGAGCAAAGTGAGGGTTTCAGAGACAGATGCAGCAAGTGCCCATCTTTTATATATTTAGGGGTGTAAGTGATATAAGTAAGTGATCATTACCAAATGATGACGTTAGAGTAGTCATAGTACTCACGCCATAGTAAAAGTGATATAAAGACATACACTCAGCTGGGCAGTTGTGGTGCAGGCCTTTAATCCCAACACTTGGGAAGCACAGACATGCTGATTTCTGTGAGTTCCAGGCAGGCCAGCCCAGTCTATTGAGTGAGTTCCAGGGCAGTCTCCAAAGCCATAGAGAAGCCCTGTCTGGAAAAACAAAACAAACAAAGACATATACACATTCACCTTTAACAGATGTTCTCTTATTGATCACCATTTTCCAATTTCTTAATACTTAGAATCCTTTATTATATTTTCTTTTCAGGAAAATGAGTCAGTATGTTCCTTTCAGTGCATTTCTCATATGGTACAGTAAACATAGACATGCATACCGAATCTTGTTTTAACTGTTTTTGCTTCAGACATTTGCATTGCAGCTGTCATGAAAGGATGCCGTCTTGTCACACAGTCAATCAAGAGCAAAACCTTAGATGCGGAAGTGGATGTCTTATGCTCCGTTCTCTACAGCAATCACAACCGAATGGGCCGCCACAAGCCCCATTTGGCTCTCCGACAGGTGAGGGGAAGCTATGTGCCACACGTAAGCCAGGACTGATGAGCATGAGGATCACACTGCCACTTATTCATATGTCTCTAAGACACAATTACATGTTGGACTTTGGCCTTTTATTTTCCCAAAGTATTTTCAAAAAGTAATTTATGATCAAGAAATATATTTCAAATCTGGTGCACACCTTTAATCCCAGCAGTTGGGGGACAGAGATTGAGGTTTAAGGCCTGCCTGGTCTATGTAGTGAGTTCCAGGACAGCCAGGGCTTATGTAGAAAGACCCTGTCTGTAAAAACAAAACAAAACAAAACAAAACAAAACAAAAAAGCCCCAAAACTAAAACAATGCAAACAAAACAGCAAAACAAAACAAAAACCCAAGTCAACCCCCCAACAAAATACCCCAAAAGAAGTATATTTCAATTCTTTCCAATTTAATTTTCACCATGCACAGTCTTTAACAGTTCAGAAGTAAACTAAACCCTTAGAATCTTAAAAATGAAAACAGTTGTGGTTTAGTGTTGTGGTTAACTTCTTGTGGGATTGTAGTGTAGTCAGCAGTGTGTTGGTGTGAGTGGTTTATGGTAAGTGGTGGTATAAAGTGCTTTCATGTAACTTGCAGTGATTGAGAGAGTATTGTGACCTTCAGCTCTGTGCCTCCATGGCAGAGAGCTGCTGAGCTGGGTTCTGTATGTACTGTTTACATAGTACTCTCTCTGCCAGTTCTGCAAGTGCCCTTTCCAAGCTCAGTGCGCTTCCCACTATGCATGGAAGCCATCTTTCCAGTATTTGTTTGTTTTTGACAAACACCTACCTCTGTGGACACTGTGATTGGTGTTGGATGTACAGCAATAAGAGAGACATAGTCTCTACTGTACAGATTCTTTCTCTCTGGTTTGCTATACTCCCATTGCTTAAGGCCCAAGGGATGAGGATGCTCTCCTCAAAGCGGGTCACGGTCTTTCCCTAAGTTGTCTTCTCCAGGGCCGCTTTTACCCAGGTCTTCTAACCAAAGAGCAAACTTGTTCACTAATTTCCTTGCTGAAGTTCTTAATTGCCTTTTCTTTTCCCTTCCTCTCTCACCCTCCCCCAAACAACTTTTCCCTCACTGTAATATCTAAGTACATTACATTACCATCTTTGACTGTTAGTACCTATCTTAAAAGATGGTATCTAGACTTAGAAATTTAAAAAAAGATAGGAGCCAGCCCCAGAGAATGTAAAGGCTGAACTATGTTGAAGTAGAGGGCTAACTGATTTGATTTTTAGTAGTATATGTAGCTTTGGCAAGGTTTGGGACTCACGAGTAGCAGTTCCCATCAGGATCCTTACATCTTTCAAAGTGTGGATGCAGTCCAGGGAGTGCCCTTGGTGGGCATTCCTGACAGTGTTTATATATATGCAGTATGGCTTGTTTTTTCCTGAGAGCCTACTAAGACCAGTTGGAAACATTGTGAACAAAACGGATGAAGTATATTGTCCATGGGAGGCTTACAGTATAGTTGGAGAAAAGAGCAGCCAGACAGCCGGTCAGTCAGTCAATAACTGGCTATACCAGCTGATAAGAAGAGCTATAGGGAAAAGCAGAGCAGGGAGATTGTGATTTAAATAAAGCATACTTATTTTAGCTTTACGTTAGTACCTTATATGTTATCTGTCCGTACTACTTGAAATTGGGATGTATCATATACCATGTTATCTCCCAACATGCCTTGCATGTAGGTATGCGTTGAGTACAGATTTGTTCTTTGACTAAGTCACTTACTTCATTTCTGGTGTCTACAGACTGTTGAAACTGAGTAAAAAAGTTTATGTTTTCCTAGGTTCACTGTTATCACTATGTTCCCTCAACAAATTATAATATTTAGACGTAGCCACTTTGGTCCCTTTATAGCATCAAGTACTTGGCACATAGTAATTTAATTTCTTAATTGAGAAATCTGTTGGGTTGGCTTAAGTCCGTATTGATAAGCAGAAGCAGTTGCTTTGGGATTTGCGTTTCCTTGTCCTTAAATGAGAAGGTCTTCTGCAGCACATTTCCATACCGTGACGGTTTGCTGTCTTTAAGTTCTTGGTCATGTTGTATTACAAACATTCTGATTTGAGCCTATCTTCCTCCTTCAGGTAGAACAGTGTTTAAAGCGTTTGAAAAACATGAATTTGGAGAGCTCAGTTGAAGACCTCTCACAGTTGTTGACTGCCAAGTAGGTGGCCCATTGCTTTGTCAGGATGTCTTTGCTATTCTCTGCTTGGTGCTGAGATATAATCAACTATGCCAAGATATATACATTGTGTTTTCATAAGAGGCACCTGTCGATTGATGGGAGGGACTGGAAGGGGCATGGAAATGTGGCTCATTGGTTGCTCGTGGGCATCGCCACCTCAGGCTGAGCTTAAAGTAAGTCTTCACTTGGATACTGTTGTAAAAATGTGTTTAAAAATGAAAGTCATGTCCTTTTCTGTTTATGTCAAGTGAAACCCATCCTGGAGCTACCAAAAACCATGTGGTCCCCAGCCAGCCAGTGGTGGAGATGGTGCTGATGAAGGTTTTGGGAGGCTGCAAGTTGTTACTGCGCTTGTTGGACTGTTGCTGCAAGGCATTTCGGTATCCTTGACTATGGGAACACCTTCTTTGGGATGGAGGCTGTTTGGGTATATTTGTAGCCTCTTTTTAAAAGCTGTGCTATAAGGTGCTATAACCTATGGCTATTCTTAAAGCTTTGCCTTTTGGCTCCTCTTCTAGCAATTGTTGGTGTAGCCCATGCCTAGCATGAGTCTACCTATCATAAATTCTAAGAGTTTGACCGTTAGAACTTACTCTCAGATACTAACCGTAATAATAGGAGCTCTAGTAGAATAAACATTTCTCTGTTTTTAGTGTAATGTATCTTTATTACCACTCTAGGACTTTAAT